CACTCCACAAATAAAAACTTTAGCTGACATGACACTAAGGGAAAAATACCTGAAATATCCATGCCCCGTTGATAAATAAAAGTCAAAGAGATGTGACAGAGTGGAGAGTTTAGGATGGCATATGGTGAAGGTAGGATTTCCTACGATGTTTTCTGCGATTTCTAATGTACTTTACGTTATCCTTTATCGAGGCGACAAATAGTATCCAACTTCCAACAACTTATGAGTGAGGGATCACCCACAAATATGGCTCTCGTAGACCCCTTCATGGACCTTTGTGAGAACCAGAGTTATCTCATCCTTTCCTAGGCATCTCAGCATGGGGAAATCCCTTCTCATCTTGTAGAAATTTCTTACTGCAATAATGTACTTTGATATTAACTTTGTCATCTTCTTTGCCTCAATCGCGTTTGAAGGAATCTCCTCTATTGTTTGATAACAAAATTATATACACAATTAAATTTAGGGCGTGAGTTCAATATATGGATTTAACTTCTTTTTCTCTATGTAGAGAGCGACTAGGGTCTCTTGCATCATTGTCTTTTTATGGTCAGGCTTCTTGGTGTTAGGGAGTTTTGATAAAAGATCCGCCAGGGAATTCTGCTCTCTAGGTACGTATACTATTTCAAAGAATTTGAAATGCTTAGTCAAATCCTATACTTTCTTGAAGTATTTGATGAGCAGTGCCTTCTTCGTCTGATATTCATCGGTGACTAGATTGGTGATCAACTGGGAATCACTTCGTGCTTAGATATTTGAAGCTCCCATTTCTCTAGTGAGGTTCATTTCAGCGATGAGGGATTCATATTCATCTTGGTTATTAATAGCTCTGAACTCGAACCTTAGGGATTTCTCTATGAGAATTTTGAATGGGCCTTCCAGTACTACTTGGCGCCACTTTTCTTCAAGTTTGAGGTGTCTTCTATTGACAATGTCAATGCATGGGGGAACTTCCTCAAACAATGGGGAGTTGAACTCTACTAATAAGTCTTCTTGTACTTGAGACTTTATACTAACTTTTGGTGCATGTTAATACAGGCGGGCCTTTTAGAAAATTCATCAACCTCGTGAATTCCCCTTCACATTCATTTGTTCACTCAAACTTCTCCTTCTTCTTCAGGGTGGCGAAGAAGTGAAAAGCCATGTACCCTGCACATGATAGAAATCTAGAATGTGATAAGGTGTCTTGTCAGTTGCTAAACCTCTTTAACTATGGTACGGCTCCTTGTATTAATGGTGGTGTGGCATTTATCAGAGTTTACCTTTATCCTCATTCTAGTTACATGAAACCTAATAACTTACACACATGAAACCTCAAAGAAGCATTTGGTGGGGTTCAAGTGCATGTTACATCTTCTTACTGGATTTAGGATATCTTCTAGCACCATAGTAGTTTCCTTTCTCATCGTTCTTTACGACCATGTCATCAATGTCAATCTTCAGAATGTGTCCTATATGATTAAAGAATCAGACGCCCGTCATCATTTCATAAGTGGAGCATGCATTATTTAATCTGAAAGGTATAACATGTAATAATACTTGAAATTATTGGATATGAATGCATTCATGGGCGCGTCCAAGGGTCCACTTTTATCTGGTTATAGTCAGAATAGGCATCTATGAAGTTCAGAGTCTTGTACCTTGATGATTTATCGATCAACATGTCAATGTTTGGCAACGAGTAAGGGCCTTTAAGGCATGATAGTTCAAATCTATGAAATATACACACATTCGTCATTTTTATTACAATTTCTAAACCAATACCATATTCTCCAATCAAGTTGGATATTTAATTTCAATTACGAAACCATCTTCTTTCAGTTAGCCAACTTCTCCATCGATGGTTGCTCTCTTCCCCGCATCTACTTTGTGTTTTCTCTAGACTACATGCTTCATTATGGAGTAAATGGCAAGGTGGGTGACACATAACCCTAGTGTTAATTCCTGGAATATCATAAGGAGTCTGGGCAAATAAATTAATGTTCTTCCAGAGTAAGGTGATGAGGTCCTCATCCTCGACTTCTGTCATGGAAGTACCGAGCTTGGTGGTGTCGAATTCTTAGGTCTCAGTTTAGACCTCTTTTAGGTCTTTTGTAGGCATAAGCCTATCTTTCAAGTTCTACTATAGCATATAAATCCACAAAATTTACCCCTTTAATGTATAGTTGTGATGCAACAGCTATTGTCATTGTTGATCTTTTGATCCTCAATCTATCTTGGTAATATCTACGAGTGGTTTCTTAATCACCACACATCGCACAAATACGTTCATTTGGCAGCAAATTTTTCATGATCAAATACAGCATTGAATGGGCGGCCCTAAGAGATTAAAAGTGGGCCACTTGATGATTATGTAGTACGAAGATGGGGTAATTATGATGAGGCATCTAACTTTTACCAGTTTGGCATTATCCTTCAATTTGAACATCATTTTGACAGTAATATAACCTTTCAATTAGACATGTTCTCCAGATAAACATACCAATGAACCTCTAAACAGATGGAAATTGTTTGGATCTAGTTTTACTCTCTCAAAGGAATCCCAATAAAGGATGTTAGCTTAACTTCCCTAATTTATTAGTACTAGTTTGCTTTCCTAATCATCACATTGTACCTTTATCACCATATGGTCATTTTCTTAGGGAGACCCCAACGACGTCTTTGTGGGAGAAGGTGATCCCAAGGTCTGAATCATCTTTTGGATCACACTTAAGCTTGGTGGGTGAGTCCTTCACCGTCGTGACTTAATATGCATATATTCTATGAAAGGACCTAAATTTCCTACCCATGGCAAACCTCCCACTATGCTATTGAGAGTGTGGTAGACTGGCTTGTCCTCATCTATTCTCTCTGATTCTTTGTCTTTTTTTTATTTGGGGGTTTTGGATTGATCTCTCCTCTAGTTTCTGGATCAGCTTCCTTTTTTCTGAGAGCTTACTCTGAAATACTTTTTCAAGTGACCTTCTTGAATAAGTTGTTCAAGATTCCTCTTGAGATGACAGTAGTCGCCAATGTGGTGACCCTTCACCTTGTAGTATCTGCACCATTTGTTGGACTCAGGCACATGGTCTCTGACTTGGGAGCTAGCGGAAGCGGGATGTTGTGAGTGTGAAGTTATTTTTTCACCTTCCATAGTGTTTCAAAGTCGTTGTATCCCTCACATATGAGGTGTAGTGGATTTTGAATTATTGTTGCGATGAATTGGATCCATCGGGGGCTCGCTCTTTGACGTCTTTGGCCTTATTCTTTACATTTTTCTCTTCGTCATTGATATAACATTCAGCCCACGTCATGATTTCAGTCATGGAGGCAACATACTTCTAGGTGAGAGATTTGTTGAAATGCCTGACCCTCAAATCATTTTAGAATGCTCCCAAAAATATCTCTTGGTTTAGATGTATTACTTAGATAGTCACCTTATTGAACCTAACAAGGTTTTCCCTTAGTGACTCGACATGCCCCTAGTAGACAATGAATAGGTTAGTTGTTGAAACTTTTTAGCGTTTACTCACCAAAATATGATGGACCAACACCCTTAAGAGGTCTTGATAACTAACTAGTAACTGAAAAACTTGGGAGGTTCATGAACCACCTAAGGGCTCATCCTTGAAAGTGATTGCACTTCAAAGAGTCGGAGCGCTTATTATCGCGAGGGGTGGCAAACGGGTGTGTCCATCCTGTTTAGGCCTGCCAACCCTGCTTAAAATCAATGTTAGATAAGCATAGTTGAGGGTTCAAGCTTAAAACCTTGTTGCATCCCTAAAAAAAGAGGGTGGGGCAGGCCCTAACATTGCACCTTTAATGGCTAAAAATTGCAAAAAAGTATTATACATCTTCGTGTCAACAAAATACCGTAAAAAATAGGGCAGGCACATGCATTTCACTTTAAAAGCTAAAACTTACGAAAATTCTTATTAACGTTTGTGTTTGCGATTAAAATGGGGAGGAACAAGGCAAATATTTCAGAGGATGCAAGCATGAAATCTTGGTATGTCCCACACAAAATTGCAAGCAAAACGGGCATGCCAAGTAGGACGATCCATTTTGCCACCCCTAATAATCTCGATATGAGTATTGATGGCAAAGATGTGTTCCTAAGGATCGATTTTCCCATCAAACTTCACCGGTGATGATGTCTTTGTGATGCCGCTCTTGAAGAGTTAGGACATTCTCATGCAAAGCATGATTGGAATGGCACAATTCTTCCATAGAAACTTGCATCTTGTCGTAACCGGCAAAAAATAAGAGAGTCACGACCACTACTTTTTATCCTAAGGACGGGAAAGGAATAGAAAAACCCTAGTTGTTCAGAGATTATTGGATTCGCGATTTGATTAGATAAAGGGAATGTGTTAGGCACCCTTTACCTCCCTTGTACTTAAGGAATCCTTTTTAGACCTAAGACTTATTGGAGATATTTCTTTATTTATTATCACATTATGAGATATACAAAACAAAGGAAAATTAAGTTTTTTAGTAAGTGGACTCGCCTTGGTTTTGAACCGTGTACCTACGTATCTTCTTGCAAACAAATCAGGATCCTTCGTAGTTCGAAGTGTTTGATTAGTGTTTTTTATGGAATCGTGTCAAGTTGCTTTCAAATGGTTGCAAACTTGTCTGAATTTGAAAATTGTGTGATGGTTAGCTATTTTTGAATTTGATTGATTGATTGATAAAGAGTTGATCTTTACCAAAGTAAAATCACGCAGGGCGAATAAATTAATTTTTATAAGGAGTTGATCCTTATAAGAATTTAATCGTGCGGAGCAGAGAAATTGATTTGATTTGTTCGTAAATTTTAGAGGTTTTTTATTTGAACAATTAATTAGTAATGTGTTAAATCAACCCATAGATTATTTGAAGATATGATTGATATAAAATCCATCTATTCTATTATTTATAAAATATTTGAATTAATTTAATTTATAAAAAAAAAATTTGATTTTTGTTATTTTTGAATATTTGTTGTTTTTGTATTTTTATATGATAAATTAAAAGAACTAAATAACTAAACCACATTGTATTACATCACTACAATAAGTGATTAGTTTCTGAGGTAGGTTGTTGCAACGGGGTAGACGGCGGAGGCGATTCCATGGCCTGAGTCCAAGCTGGACGGTTGCGACGGCGTCGGTGTTGAGGTGGTGCGGATTCGTCGGAGGGATGTTGGTGAGCGGCCGTGGAGAGTTCGGCGAAAGGAGATAGGAGGGAGCTCGGACTTGGCGAAGCGGAGGTAGCTGGCGATTGTTGTGTGATCGAACGGGAGCTATACGTGTGCAGTGTGAGTAACGGTTTAATAGTCGCTTGGTGATAGCTTCCATTCTGCAACTCGTTTTTCTTTTTCTTTCCACTTTTTGGTCTGTTCCCAGGTTGTTGTTGTTTGGAGAGATTTCATGAACTCTGTTGTTGCTTTCATGGCTTAAGGTGGTGGTTGGAGTTTGTTATTTGTAGGTTAGTAAATGATTATTTGTGGATAGTTAGATGAAGATTGGATTGTGTTGTTTCTTGGGAATTTGAATTGTGGTATGGTTTTGTTTGAAAGATGATGAAGATTTTGGTTCTACAAAATCTACCTGAAAAAGGTTTTGACTTTAGAGTAAAAAAGAGTGTATACAAGAGTGTAAGTTTATGTAAAATAGGTACTACTTTTCTCTACCGTAATAAACTAGGCGTACTGTGTGTCTAACTATGTATATAAGGGTTTGTGTATGAGAGAAAATATGTACCGGTTGGAATTGGTCCGTGAGAAGAAAAAAAATTGTTAGTGCAAAAACATAGAATTTAAAAACAATAGTTTCATTAGGAAATTTATCATATGGTTAAAGCAGTAAATGAATTAAAATTAGAAGGAATTGAAATTAAAAATGAGGCTTTATATGTTAATCATTGACCAAAAAATAAAACCGATAACACCAGTAATTTTGAAAGGAAATTTTGAAAAGAAAGTGTGAATGTTTGTATGTGAGTGCAATTATAAAATTGTATATGCTTCAAACTGTGAAAATAGAGTCATATTTATAGGAATAATTAGGTTAACAAAATAGAAAATAAAATTAATTGATGAAATTCTGGTAGATCAGAATTCAGATGTCCTATGATATGTTGAGAAATTTGATCTGACTTCAACAACACATGCAAGGTATAAACATACAAAACAGTACTGAAAAGTAATAAATAACACACAGAAGTTGTTAATCCAGTTCGGAGCAACTCTCCTACTCTGGGGGCATATCAAATCAGTGACAAGTCAATTATAATAGTATGAATTCATAGACCCCACAGCAAACATACTAGTTTACGATCTCACTTAATCACTACACGTGTTATACTTCTATCTAAGACTCACTTAAATATGAGACCCTCCTTAATTCCTCATCAATCACGGACAATGATTGGATAATAACAGGAAGACACACTTCCATGACAGGTGTTGTACCCCAAAATTTTCCCTCCCATATTCTTCAAGATTTGTCAATAATGATCTTCAAATTGGTCAAGATTTGCTCAAGAGGTAGACAGTCAAACCATCTTCTAAGACAGCTGAAATTAGGGTTTTGGTTCTTTCAAGGAATTTGGGGTTCTCAATGGTTCAATCAAGTCTCATGGGCCTATATACATTCTCAAGCACCTACATGCCAAGTTTCAAGACTCACAATGCCAATTTGCACAGTCAAAAGCTCCATTTGACCTACAGTCAACTGCAAGGGCAAAATGGTCATTTTGCAGTCAAAAGTCAGAATTTTTGGTCAATATCTTATTTTGAGTCCACAATCATCATTTTATCAAGCCTTGATCATGATTCCACAAGAATAGCTCAAAAATCATCAAGATGCAAGAAGTTACTATTTTTGGACAGTAGAAAAGTCAAATGTATCTTGACCAGGGCATAACTTTTTCATGGTTCATCAGAAAAATCTCATCCAATGCTCATTTTGAAGGAGATGCAATTTCCTACAATCCATCTTCACACTCCAAGATCATAAAATTCTCTCACAAGAAGTTATCAATTTCTACATTATAGGTCAAATTCAAAAGTCAACAAAAGTGCACTTTGAGTCAAAGGCCATAACTTGAGATTGGTAAATCCAAATGACATGGGACCAAAGGAATTGGTTAGAGGACTTCAATACCTTTCCAAAATGTCAAAGAACATGTTCATATGATCAAAATTGAGCAAGTTGTGCATTGGAGAAGTTGAGAAATTTTTATGAATTTACAAAAGTCAACTTTGCTAAAAATACTTTCTTTTTGCTAATGGGCCTCAAATCTCTTCTTGAAACTTCATTCATGACCTATGCACGACCCATTAAGCTTAATTGAATTTATTTTCTTATTTTTATTTGATTAATTGGATTTTTAATTAATATTAATTCATTTAATTGATTTAAATTGTAGGAAAATGCAAGATTTGATTTTTTAATCAATTTGTGAAGCAAATATGGTCAAGATATGCTGGAAAATTCGTGAACAAGTCAAAGATACAAAAATCTCCAAATTTGGCAACATTATTCAATCATGAAAAATCAAAAAGATATGATTTCCAATCAAGGATTTGAACTTCAATGCAATGGATATTGGCCCAAGTTTTTGACCTAATTTCATTCTCTTATACATAAGCAAGCTAACCCTGATCAGAGAGACGTGAAAAAGCTGCAGAAAAAACCATAGCCAATTCAAGAAATTCCAAGAAAGTTGAAAACTGACTTTTGCATTCTAGGTTGATTCAAGGGTTTTTGATCATTCAAACACATTGTAGGAGGTTCCAGGAACGTGTTGCAATCAAATTCCAGTACCAAAGCTCAAGGAATCGTTCATTACATAACCACGGTTTGCCATTCTTATTCAAAATCATATTGTCTAATTCATGTGCATTTAACATATTTTCTTGATTGTTTTGCATTGCTAGGAACCATACGAAGCTAATGGTATAACTTAATTGAATTATAATGCCCTGAATCAAAAGATACCATGATCAATTTCTAGGGTTCTTGAGCTTTGAAATTGGGGCTTTATGAACCAGGAAAAATTAGGACTTATAAGACATATGACTGAATTCGTGAGGACAAGACGAACAAGAAGGACCCCTCGCAAAATATTTATATACCCTGTGGTGCTTTTTGTACCCCAAAATTTGCCCTCCCATATTCTTCAAGAAATTGCCAAATCAAGTCTCAAGATTCCCCAAGGGTTGCACAGTCAAAGATCTCCTATACAGTCAAAATTAGGGTTTTGATTCTGATCAAGAAAAGGAAGTTTTCAAAGGTCTAATCAAGTCTCATATGCCTACAAATATGGTCAAGTATCCTCATATCAAGTTTCAAGGCTTTCAGCACAAAATTGCACAGTCAAAAACCCTAATTGCACTACAGTCAACTGTAGGGGCAAAATGGTCATTTGACAGTCAAAAGTTCAAATTTTTGGTCAACATATCATTTTGAAGCCACAAACATCATTTGATCAATGCTTGATCATGATTCTCAAAATTTGGCTCAGAAATCATCAAGATGCAAAAGTTTCCTTATTTGGACAGTTGAAAAAGTCAACTGTAAATTGACCAGGGCATAACTTTCACATGGATTATCAGAAAAATTCCATCCAAAGCTCATTTTGAAGAGAAAGACAATTCCTACAACTCATCTTCATACTTAAAGTCCAAGAAATGCTCTCACAAAAAGTTATCAATTTCAACATTATAGGTCATTTTTAAAAGTCAACAAAAAGGGACTTTAAGTCAAAGGCCATAACTTGAGATTGGTAAATCAAAATGACATGGGACCAAAGACATTGGTTAGAGGACTCAAAGACCTTTCCAAAATGTCCAAGAACATGAGAAAAGCTTAAAAATTGAGCATGTTATGCCTTGTGGAAGTTGGGAAATTTTTGGATATTTTGAAAAGTCAACATTACTTCAAATGACCTAAAATTGCTAATGGGCCCATTTTTCTTCCATAATTCATCATCCATGACATATGCACGACTACTTGGCCCAAAGGGAAGTATTTATTCATTTTTTATTTATTTATTTGAATTTTTATTTATAATAATTCATTTAAATCAAAATAAATGTATGAAAAATGCTAACCTAAAGTTTTAAATCTTTTTGTGCATGTTTTACTCTCAAGATTTCGTGCTTGTACCAATATGGAAAGATTTGGATTGATTGGCTTGATTGAGAGCAAAAAGCACATGGAAAAAGATTGGAAAAAATCTTGGAAAATCAAATTTCCAAAATCATGAATGCAAGATATTTGGATCCATATTTTTAACCTAATTCACTCTTGCATAAGTATGGAACACAACCCTAATCATAATACACACTGAGCTGCGCCCAAAGGCCATTATCAAACTTGAAATTTTTCTCTAAAAACTGAATTCTGAAAACTCACTTCCAGGGCGATTCAAGACATAATTTTTGTTCCATTGGCTTGCTGAAGGTCCATTGAACGTGTCCCAATCATAAACGCTCATCAAAACCTCAAGAATCGTTGTACAAAAGCTAACCTTTCTCACTTTTTTTTTCATCATCGTGTTTTACATTCTATGCACTTTCATGACGTTTTGTTCATATATTCGTGATCAGTGAAGCATTTGCAAGCTAACCATATACTTTGATTGTATTTTTATGCATTGTGTACGATTTCACCATTGCCAATTGTTAGGGTTTACAGGATTCCAAATTAGGGATTTTCAAACGAGGAAAAATTGGAGCATATGAATTAGACCATTGGCTTCAGCATGCTCAAACGATCATAAGCCCATCATCGCGCCTAATTTATGGACCTCCTAGGCCTAATCGCTATTTTTCCAAAGTGTGCCTAGGAGAACAGTTGGAAAACCGTGGCTTAATGTTTTTGTTTCAGAAAAAATAAAAAAAACCACGAAGAAGACGATTACGTGGGAGGCACTGATTGGAACGTTTAAATATTTCGCGCGTTGAACCACTAACACATTGTTTTTCTTTTATATTATTTTCTTGTTATTATATATTAACAACGCGAATTTGGTTCAGCTGGCAAGTGATAGTGGTGGCAAAGCACATGACCTGGGTTCGAGCCCCAGGTCTTCACACTTTCAATATTATTTTTCAATTCACAATCACATGCAGGCATAATATTAAGGACCATCATATTCCTTCATCATCTATCCATCCACATGCCAGTTACATCCAAATCAAGGGTCCAGATCCAAGATGCATGGTGAGTCCCAGTCAACGCGCCACATGTTACTCAAAAAGTCCACCAGGCCTTGCTAAATGGGCCAGATTACTAAGGCCAAACCTCCATGTTGGGGACTACAACCCCCCTAGGTTTGCCATATTTTT